GCACTATATTGTTCCATATTAGTGTTAGATAAGTATTTGGAGACCATATCAGCTCTTTTCCATCCTTTGTGAGTTATTTAAAAGTACGTTTAGCAGCTAAAACACGCATTTCCGCAAGAGAATGTTTTCTTTAAATGTTAATTAAGTACAAGGTGATTTGGAACACATGGTCCTGACAAAAAATGTTACTATCCCAAGGTTCATTAGAGGTTTATTATTTTCGAATGTTTTAAATGTATACGCCCTACAGCACAACGCCTAATCATTGTGAAAATGTCAATCTTATAGCAGTGGAATGCTTTCTTTAAAAACAGAAATCCTTACACTTCCCCGATGATAACCACTGTCATTGGAATACCAAACACAGCAACACTGTAAGTACTTATTATCAATTATTATCTTAAATATTATCTTGGCAATTCAACAAAAGGATGTAATCTGTACTTATTCTAATAAAACTAGCATAAATAATTTGTCCTTGCATTTATTGTATTCTTTTATTCATTGAACATATTTGTTCATGATTTAAGGATAGTAGGTTGATGTCACTACATGTTCTATGGTCCAGTTGCAACATTTGAAAATGCTTCATTACCCATGAGATGTGAAGTATTGAAAGCATAAAACCCTTTACCGAAGAATGAAATAATAATTACTGAGGTAAAAGGTTTGTAAACCAGAGCTTGTAAGCGTGAACGTTCCTATGCATGATACATTACTTTATCATAAAATATAAGGTTGGGTGAAATATGTGTGGTGGTTTAACTTGGACAAAGCAGGGTGAATGAGTTTTTATGGCCAAAAACAGTGATTTCACACTACATCGGTAATGTTACGTACTTGGTAAGCAAAATTACAGTAATATTTGTAGCATACAACTAGGTATTTTACAATTTTGCAAAGTAAAAAAAAAAACAAAACAAAACAAAAAAACAGCATTTTCATTTAGAATGTTATCAGGGGTGGGGAAGTTGTCAGTCACACCAGCGTTCCGCAAAATTTTTACCTCACAGCATATTGAGGATTCCGGCCCAACAACCAATATGAGCGAAATGAGGTTTTCCCTGACAGATAATTATATGATAGGTCCAGATTTTAGTAATATATATCTCAGTGGTTAACATGCTTGCCTTCTCATCCCAGGGTCGTGGGTTCAATTCCTGCCACAGCAGGACTTTTTCTCACGACTAAAAACAACTCCACTCCCTAACCATCATAAAGAGACTTGGTTCATAAAGCATCACTCTTATCCGGTAAGTGCCGAGTGTGCTTGCTGTTGAATATAGGAAAATAAAATAAAAAAATAATGCGTGGAAATTTTTAAACATTATTTACCATTCCTCACTTTTTCTTTTTGGTTTGTTAATTTTTTTTTTCTTCTTTTTATTAATGTTTTTTCCCAAAAATTGTTTTATTGTTTAGTACTGTACTAATGTAATTAGAATAAGGATTTCTCTGTAGTGTGACAAGTCCTCGTACAATAATTTGTTACTGTACAATTTTTTTTATTATATTTTAATGGACATAAATAGGAACTCAAACTATGCCAGTAATTGCAAGATATTTAAAAAGAAAGACACTATGTACGATAGTTAATCGGCAAAAACATTTTCTCCTTACTCACATTAGTATATATGATTACTAATATTTTATTATTATAATTATTATTATTATTATTATTATTACTATTACTATTACTATTATTATTATTATTATTATTATTATTATTATTATTATTATTACTATTATTATTATTACTATTATTATTATTATTATTATTATTATTATTTATATCATTATTATATATAAAGTTCACCACCAGGTTGCACCTTTGTTTTCAATCAGACGTTGGTTACCGTTAATTACGCCTGAATGACTTCATAATCTTAATGGTTTAGAATAAGGTTTTTCGAATAGGCATTTTGAAACCTAATAATCATCAAAATGTACTAAAAACACAAAAGCTCGCATTAAATTAGTTATCGAACACACATTTATTTTAATCATCAACTAAAATTTACAAAGAAAATCGAGGATGCAATATCTTATCATTACATTGAAAATTGGGATGAATGGTTTGTCAGTGGAGAAAATGGTGCCAAGTTGAACTCCTTTTGTGACACTGTAGTATTCTTGGCACAGTGATATTTATAAGTCAGATGACATGTATTTGAGGAAAACATTTAATAAAAAGAAGTAATAGGTTTACCCCACATGCTCCATTTTTTTTAACCCACTAGGGCTCCTACAGGGCCCTAAACGCATGTAGATGTGTTAGGTCTATAGTGGAAACATATGAAAAACAGAGATGGTGAATAATGTCATTTATTTTGGCTGCAAACTAAAATATTATAAAATGAAATTTAGACATAAGAAATGTAAATGAATTTTTCAGGAGGTGAAGACCCAAGGATTAACCTGATTGCAGCGGCCTTCTTGTAATTTTACTTCAACTAGGCAAGACTTTTTATACCTTGTTTCGCAAACCCATCTCTCGCACAAACTGACGTCAAATGAAAAGAAATTTTTCTTTTTGTTCAATTAGCACACCTGCTGCCACGAAAAATGGGAATTCCAGAAATAAACATAGGTGTTTTTAAAATTTGTTATCATGCCTACCACTGCCTTGAAATCTCAAAATACAAAATATGTATATTTCCTCCTAAATATACAAAATTAAATCATTTAACCATTCCAATACTACACTGTTTACATTCACCAATAATTTTTATTTGTATTTTCTCTGTCTGGATATGTTTGGCAAAAAACCACTTGCGAATACGAAAAAAAATGTTCATTTTTGTTTTTACCCGCACTTTGATGATCTTTAACAAAGTTTACAAAACAATTTAAAAGTCTCAACTTAACTCATACAGCATTCTTTATATTCCTACAGTACATTCATAGATAGTAATGACAAACTGTTACTTTTCTACAAAGGAAAATGCCTGTATGTAGAGGCAGCAAAATAAAAGTGTAAGAATATTTTCGAGCTCTGCTATTAATTGTAAACCAGGTTTTGTTATAGTGGCATTTGTGTCAAATTTCAATATTAAAAAAATAATAATAATTGGGCATTAACATTGCACTTCAATCAAGAAAAAATATTGGTAACATATACAACATTCAATTATTTTTGAAAGACAAGGTATCATTTGTCAAGAAACAAATTTGTATTGATGCCTAGACCAGTAAACAAAGTCAAACTTAATATTTTTTTTTACTTTTAAATTGGACAATATGGTATTAGATATTAAGAATTACTGATTGTTTACTTTTATTGATTACTCTTTACCTGTACTGATAGGTTAATACGTTCTGCAAAAAAACTATGATTTATGTACTGTGCAAAAACATGATACAAATCACATGCTTTCATTGTAATAATAAATTATCAAAATAAAATTACCACATAAAACCTTGTAATTGTAATTATGTAGTGATGAAATGTGAGAAGTAATAAAAGTGGGATAACCCCACAAAAGACAAAAAAAAAAAAAAATTATCAAAATATTTTACTACTTCTTTGGTTTACCACTGTGCCTCCCACAATAGGATAGTTTATTGTTGATATTGCACATACAGTGGAATATGTATAAAACTTGTATTGGTAACTTTGCGCATTCAATATCAGATGAAAGTTAGAGGACTGGTCCAAAAATTGCTATTCTTGCCTATTTGTACATGTTTCTTTGTGTTAATGCCTGATAAAAAGACAAAAAGGCACAGTGTAGGTACAGCAAAAAACAAGCTTGGTATGGACTGCTGGAATTGGCTGCCATATAAAAGCAAATGATCTGAAACAAATAAAAATATGAGTTTATTTACTTTGCATGAATAAATAGAATTTGTTGAATGTAACCACAACTTTTCACATAAATTTTCTGTATTTCTAATAATAAAAGGTATTGTGCCTCCATTATCTCATCACACTTAACGGCTTACTGTTCTTTTTGATAACAGGATGGGGCTATAAATTAAAATATAAGATCACAGATTTTGCTTTTATCACATGTAAAATGGTAAATCATAGAGAGGCTTCAAAATTTTGTATTTCTTTTTTAGTCACAGGTTTGTACTTTTCAAAATTTTGTAAATCAGTCATACTTTCTATTCTGTAAATGCTGTTTCACACTGCAATAAGTACTTGAAACCAATGCTCATGCTGCAGAATTAAGTGAAATGCTCTCTGCAAAATTGGTCAAATTATTGTCTAAGTATTGCTGGTTTGAAATGACCTTTATGTGCACGATCTGTGATATAACCCTATTAAAACAATATTAGACTGTATAATGATCGAAAGAAGTCTTTTATTTACAAGTGGTTTCTCTTTAATATAACAAAATCATGGACATTTGGGGGTGGGGGGCTGAAGAAACAGAGTTTATGGAAAGCAGGGGCGTACCATGGGGGGTCGATGGGTGCGGTCGACCCCCCCACCTTTTAAAGAAAGTGCCCTTTAAATATAATTTTTTTTTTTAATCTAGCATAATTAAACTGCGCCTAACATGAAGGTAGTTAATATCAAAATAAATTATCCTTCGCCTAAGAAATGTTTGGTGGCCCTTCCTTTTAATATTTTGATTTTTTTGTCTTTTTTTTAAACAATCCCTATAAAGTTATACATTTTTAATCAACTTGATATCTCGAAGCCCGCGCGCCAGTAGAGTTGTGTAATGTGGTGTATTGGTTACGCATCATTGCACTCTGCCATTATTTTTATACAGACTGCTTCATCCGCTTGTTGGTATTACACAGAGCCTGCAAGGCAGATCAATTGATGTTGTAAAGGCTTACAATGAAGTGAAAGATTGTATGAAAGACATGCAACGTTTGAGGGAAAATATTGAGCCCAAAAACTACGTTTACAATTAGGCCTATTTTGTCAGAATTGGTATTGAACTTAATGCACTAGAACGTAAAAACATAAATTTTTCCCCTTTTGCGGTCCCCTAGCCCCAGCCTATTTGCTCGCTTCACTCACAAATAACGCACCCCGCGAATTTTGAAAGCTTCGCTAAATTGCTCCGAGTTCAGCTTACCCCCTGCGCTTTCGTTTCGACCCCCCTTAGATTTTTCACCGTACGCCCCTGGAAAGTGTATAGACAGCATTCAGATATCAGGGTAATTTCTTGATGCCAGTCTCCACAATGAAATGGAAGACACCAAAAACACTATTTCGATATTATGCTGTACAGTCAAACTTACAAGTCGACTTTGCCTAACTCTAATAATTTCAAAGTCGATCTAATTTTACATGCCAAATTGTTGAGTTATCCATTAGTAAACAATCTCTAAGTCTAATTATTGAAGTCCAACAGTGCCCAATGCATTTTGGATTTGACTAGTGCAAGTTCAACTGTACAGTAACAAACAAAAAATTCTCACTGGTTTTATCTCAACCGGTTTGTAGACAAAATGGCAATAAGTAAGTCGAAACAGCAATGACCAAAATGACAACACTTTTTTACCAGAAACACTAAATCGGTAATAAGTCAAAATGGCAAGACCAAAACGATGCTAAACAATTTATGCCATAAAAGTTTTAAAAAAATATATATAATTATAACCATGAAAGTGTACTAAGATAAAATATGGTAAAAATGAGTCTAAATACAGTAGCAGCAGCAGCAATTATATCAATAACAATAACAACAATAAATCTTTAATAATAATAATAATTCAAATTCAATATTAAAAAGATTGGGGGGAAACAATATATAAGCAGTAAACCTAAAACATTTAAACAAATAAAACTTTTCAAAATACAAACAAAATGAGGCTAAACAAATACGTCATAAAAGTAAAAAAATGCAAAATAATATCAATAATAAACAACAAAAGTGGGATAAAGACCTCATGGCAATATTCGATTTGCCTATCGGGACAATTTCAAAACGATTCAGAAAATTCTAAACTGCAGCCCAGGTCCGGTGGCGCCTGCTCTCCTTTGCATTGGTCTATGCCCTTCTGGTACTTGTCATTGCCGTTTTGGTTCATTGCCATTTTGGTTATCGCCGTTTTGGTAATTGATGTTTTGGTTTACTGCCGTTTACACCTGCTACCTATCAAGCCTTCTATTTATTTGTGAAGTATTAAGGATAGTGTATATTTTAATAATATTGACATCAATTAAACACTTAAAAGTTATTTTCCTGAATCTCTGCTGGAAGTGAAATAGATGGCATTCCCACGGCCTATTAACATAAGGTATATACTGTATACATAAAAACAAACACATAGGGCTAGGCCTGCTAGAGAAGGCTTGTCTACTAGAGTAGACCTACCTAGGCCTAGGCCTTCTATCTAGACTAGGCCGCCAAGCCAGGCCCAAGACGAACATTTTTGCCAAGCTAGGCACAACCACATCCCGGCCCCTCCCTGGATGGCTTAAAAACTAGGTCTAGGCCTAGCCAAGATAAAGATGTTATCGTAGCACTACTGTACTACTACTAGGCCTTGGTCTAGGCCTAGAAGGGCCTAGCCTAATAGAATACCCAGCCTAGTACCCTAGGCCTATTAGCCTATATAATATATAGGGCTAGGCCTAGGCCTAGCCTCCGCCCCAGCCTACCTTCCTGGGCTAGCATACCTAGCTAGGCCTAGGGCCTAGCTAGTTAAGGGCCTAGGTTTAGAGGCCAAGGCCTAGCCTAGGCCTTCCGTAAAAAAGATCAGAGATGTGTATAAGAGACAGGTGCAAAAACATGATACAAATCACATGCTTTCATTGTAATAATAAATTATCAAAATAAAATTACCACATAAAACCTTGTAATTGTAAATTATGTTAAGTTAACGGGAATTTACGTATGCTGACGCAAATTTACCTAGATTGACGCAGATTTGTAAGGTTTGACGTAAAATGACGCGATACTACCTTCAAAAACATTTTCCCTATGCTGAGAATGGAAGAGCTATGCCTACGTCACCGTTTTGCAAAGCGTGGCTGCTTTGCAAAGCGTGGCTGACTTAAGTCTCGCTGCCGGTCTGCAGCAGGATCTCTATCTGAAAAACTGGGCTACTGTGGCATCATCGGAAATTCTAATCCAATTAGAAGCAAGTTTTTTCACACTTCTGCATGTAGAATCTATGACCCCTGACCTCAAAAGGCCAAGTGTTGCCAAGCGTGCCTTTTACCACGCCATCAAACCGGAAGCAACCGGTAACATAAGTGTTGATTAAAGTGTAGTATTAGTTGAGTTAAACGTTCGTCTGTTGTTCATTCATATGTTGTCCGACCAAGAACATCACACTGCATATGCGTTGAACAGCACTAATTCTCGATGTATAGCAAACAGAGGAAAGGTCAATATGGTATACCCTCATCTTAAGCATTTATTACAGGAACACCATGGATTTGCTATGGGACAAGCAATGTATGCAACACCATTTATTGTAATGTAATTTATTTTTTATGTGTACTAAAGATTAATATTACAATGGCCTTTTGCATTCTCTGCACTTGCCGTGATTTTATTGAATAGAGGAAATTATACATGTTTAATTTTGTGCTTTCTATTCTCATTGAACAATAAATAGCAAAATGCAATCATAGTAGGTCTATAGATAGTGTAAGTCAAGTATAGATACATTTTTTCTCGGTTTCTGTTCTAAATTTACTCTACTTTTACATTTATGGTTCTAATAGAAGAATAGTCTCAATTCATGATCTTTTGCAACAATATTGAATTTGAGGCCATATTTCCACTTAAAAATTAACACCAATAATTATTGTTCTTCAATGAAGGTGGCCAACATGAGGGTGGAGCTGAGGCATATTTAGGAGGTTGATGGGGGAGGGGGCGCTTGAAGGTTAAGGGGTCTCGATGATTAAGTTAGGGGATCTAGCTCGCAAATAAGGTGATATGGGGAGATTTAACTACTTGAGCGTGATTTTTTGCTTCGAACAATTTCAGTTGGATGGAGGGGATAGCGTTTATTTGGGAGGGGGGTGGGTGCGCACCCCTAGATGCACCGCTATATAACATTCGAAGAAATTGTGCACCTTCTGGTTAGGCTATGTCAGAAATACTGTTAACACAACGTTGCAGCAACGTTAACCAAATTACGTTATAAAAACGTATTTATGGTTGGATTTTTAAAAAAAAAAACACATTTTGAATACCTAACTGCAGAGGTATATAATCGTAAATTTGTTAGCTGTGTGTAGTTGCTTTCCACTCCCAGGGTTCAGAGTTCAATGCCATGGTTACCCTTCCAAAAGGATCCTCCAAACAATAGCGTAATACTACAAGTATATAGGCCTATATTGCCAAGCTTGTTTTCTTGTCAATTAAATAATAACTGTAGTAAACGCTCTCTAGTTTAAAGTTCAAAAGAAATATACATTATACTGCTTATACTACCGGTTTCATGTTTGTAAAGCTTTGTATTTCTCGGGTTATTGATCTTCACGTCATGTATGCCAAGCTGATACACTGTATAGGCTATATTTAAACACAGTTTGTTATTATCAAACAAAACTACAGAAGTTAAACACACCCTTAATGCACCACACGTTCACAAGTTTTTCACTCGTGCAGTCATTGGTTTCCTCCAAAATGCATAGAGAATCCTCATAAGTGCAATTTAGTTTGTAAGATTGCAATGTTTCCAGAGGTTTTCCATATCTGCCAACATAAATAAAAATAAAACGTTAAGTATTTTACAATAGGCCCTCTCGTAGTTTAATTTGCGCATGACTCTATCGAATGTTGATTGAACGACTGATTGGTTAATTGACTGATTGATTAAATGATTGATTGATTGACTTGCTGGCTGACTGACTGATTAATTGACAGATTACTTGATTGATTGATTGACTGGTTGATTGACTGATTGGTCAACTGATTAATTAAGTGAATGTTTGAATAATTGATTTACTGAATGATTGATTGATTGATTGATATCGGTTTGTTTTGTTGGCTTGTTTAATTGGGTGGTTGGTGATTGATTGATTGACCTACCTATGGTCTTTTGGCATATCATATGCTTTTTCAAAGCCCAGAGTATGGCATATAGCATTGCCTTGCAACTGTTTGGTTTCTTCGTCTGTGGAGCAAACGTATCCTACAAGGGGCCCATAATTCTCTTCGGCAATCGCAACGTAGCCATCCGTTATAGTGCCATCCCGTGTGCTTCGACCTCCTTCAAGCCTTAAAGAACCAGAGTTAACTATACTCACACATGAATGTTCTGTAAAAATAAAACAATATTTTGTAGATTATTTGTAGAATCATCTCATTACATTGCATCCTTTACAACATTTTTATTTCCTTTTATAAATGCGTGTTTTGCCCTAAACCATTGTTTACTAAGAGTTTTTATTTTACCAAGTAGGTTTTCTTTAATGATGTCATAGGAGGGGAACAAACGTACAATTTGACTTACATTTAATACGACTAAAAATGAAATTAACGCCTGTAATGTGGCGAATGAAAACTAATTAAAAATATAACTGCTGAATTAACATTAATTTTGGTTTATAGTTTCTTTATTGATAATACAGGTCTCCCTCCAATTAAAGACCACCTCCAAATATAGATCACTTTTCTATGGTCCCAACTTAAA